CCCCAAAACCCCAAAACCCCAAAACCCCAAAACCCCAAAACCCCAATCTCTCCAATTCAGTTGACCCTAATTTCTAAATGATTTATAATAATTTTCATCTGATGGAGGCTACAGTGGAAATGGATAAGCAAAGGACACGCTTAAGGAAAAGAGGGCCAGAGGAAAGTGCAAGCGATGCAGGCAAAGGGACAAGTGAAACGGAAGTTATTGAGGAACAGATCTTTAAGGAATATGTAGAGAGTTTTGGGAAAGAGAAGGTGAGGGGAGTGGGAATAATGAATTTAGGGACAGATGGAGGTCAGAGGGTGGTATGATGAGCTTAAGGAGATGAGAAAGACTTCATTGGTGTCTTATGAGGGAGTTCTATGGCATACAGGTTGAAGGAGGGATAAAGAGTAAGTAGATAAATGAATTAAGGGGTGTAAAAGAAGTTTGAGAAGATTATTTGAATTTAAATTGAGGAATTACGGTGTGTCTGTATTTTATCAAAATTGGATTTTTGGGCTTTCAAGTCATTTAAAATATAGTATAAATTTTAAATATATATTGGAGCTTTTGCAAAATATCTGTGATTGTCTTAACAATAATTTATTGGAAAATTTTCTCAGAAATTCAAAATACTTTGCCAAAAATCTATCAGATTTAATCGACTTGCTACAAATTCCCTACACAACACACCCAATTTTCTATCTTCTCCTTCATTAAATTTTCTGTCTTATTTCTGACATGTTCAGTTCTAAAATTAATTTTAAAAAGTCAGTAATGGATTTTGTTATAGTTTGTTTATTCAGCTATTCCTCTTCTTACCTTCTAAAGTTGTCTCTTATATCATTCTGTAGTAATACCCTTACATACTCTCATTAATCATTTAGCCTAAGGATTGCTTGCTTCTGAGCTATATATTCACTTGAGCTAATTTTCTTACACTGTTATTAGTAAAATTTAATTTCTTTTCCACTCCTGTTGGTTATCAAACTTTTGGGTAACTCTCTTTAAAGAAAAGGCTGACCAAAAGTACTCAAACTATAGGTCTGGGATGGCTGAGATTTTAGCAGCCTAAGAACCCAAGGCTTTGGAATGGAACGCATAGTGTTAAGAATTATTTTACCGTCCTTTAAGATTAATAGTACCTGAATTGTTGTTCCTGTTGGTCTCAGATTTTCGGAAACATATCTTTAATATCAGAAAACAAAATTAATACTTTGTCAGGGTTTGTTTAAACATGAAGTTGAAACTAAATTTACATGAAAATATTTCTATTATCTTTTAATGTTTGCCAGTAATGCCCGAATATTTAAGGCAGAATCTCTGATCTGTCCTGATATAGACTGGAAATAGAACAAAATAATGATGAAGAAATTGTAAGTAGGACTCATGTTTTATTTAAAATTGCAAGGTTTAAAAGATTGATCGTGTGTCACGATTTCATTTTATATTTATCAATTCTTGAAAATAGTATTCTCATTAAAAATTAGTCTCAAGCTTTCTATTTGTTCTCTCGTAGTATTTCTTCTTGATCGTTCTAATAGATATAATAGAAGGAACAAAGGTTCCAGAGTAAGCTTTCAAAGAAACCCTCCTAATTAAAGAAAAATCAAAATCAGCTGCTAGTCTGCCAAAAATTTCTGAAGAATTAATCTCTCTAACAAGGCAAGTCACTCTTATCTTGGATTATAAATAACAGCGATGTGAACTTTAGGTTTATTCAATCGAAAGACCTGACCTCTTTGCTGTTCTCTGAAAGCGAAGCTTATTCCAAAATCCAAGACTATTGCAGTCATTTATCCTCAAAATCCCTGAACATGACTTATCGTGTAGAGATTTTAAAATCATCGAACTATTTATTTATCTGAGAGTTCTCAGGCATTATAAGAGCTCCTAATCTAAAATTTAAACCTTTGATAAAAACGTTAAAATTTCTGCTAACTCCAAAACTCAAGCTATTTGACATCCAACTACGAGCGATGGAAGTTCTACTCCAAAAGAGCAATCCTGACTTTTTCTGTAACGCAATTTTATGAACTCTGACTTCTTAAGCTATAGAATTGTCAAACCTAGCATACTTAATAAACTGCTATGCACGAGTCAATTGAGTTCTGTATCACACATCTAAACATCTCTACTGCCCTAAGAGTAACTCTAAAAATTAAGTATCCTTCTACCTCTTGAAAAATTAAATATTAATTATTCCAATTCATAAAACTCCCTTCGGGGTTTTGGGGTTTTGGGGTTTTGGGGTTTTGGGGTTTTGGGG